TAGGTTGGAAGTCTATATTTTGTTGCTGCCCTGTTCGATTATTTTGTCTATTCATAGTGTAGATACTAGTATTAAGCCTGAAGGCATATACTGATATATATTCTTCTGGGCTTTGTTTTTGTAGTTTTGCCAAAACCTGATCCTCAAGAGACTGGTTTGTTGTTTTTAGTTTCGTGTAGTTGTTGAGTGCTTTTGTTGTGTTTGTTGTCTCTAGTTCTAAAGATCTTTTGTGTATGTTGCTAGTTTTGGTCTTTTCTTCCAGGATAATTATTAACTATCTTACTGTATTTTTATTTTTATTTTTTTTCGAATTTATTTTTACTATGAAATTGGGATTTACAGGAAAGAGTTCTATACCCATAGCATTTTGCCTATAATTACGATTGATTTATTTTAAAATGTTAAACTTACTCTGAAATTATTACAAACAATTCATAAGAGATTATAATATAATTGCACTTAATCTTTCTTGATAAAACAAGTCTTTGATCGAATATTATTAATTTAAACCTGATCTTTAAAATGCTTCAACTTATCACCAAGACGTGAGATTGACTTGAAATTTTCACCAGTTGTTTATATAAAGTCAAAGAATAAAGCTACATTTCAATTTCTTTTATTAATTATTGGTTTTGAGTATTCGCTTTATAGAAATTTGAAAATTCATTAATTAAGGCCAATAAAATTATATTAAACGTATAAGTCGAAACTTAATTAGAGCATTAGTGAAAAATCAAATGTAGTTACTTTGAGATGGTTCTGATAAACAATTTCCAGTTAAAAGAAATCAGAAAAATAAGTGCAATTTTTATGTGAAGCCTTTAGAATTTTGCGCTTTTCTTAATAGTTAAGCATAGTAAAATTTTATTCGATTGATTACTTTAATTTACTGATAAAAATCTGATTATAGTAAAATTATCAATGTAACTGACATAGTTTTGATCAAATAGTCGATGTGACACCCCAATTTTTTATGTTCTGGTCGAACGAAGCAAACTTGAAGTTTTAATCAAGATTCACAATAATACAGATGCAACAAAATATAGACTTCCAACCTAAGAGGCGTCGCTATAACAACCAAAAGTTCTTTACTTAACTTTCAACGGCACAAAAAAGTGGGCAATCTAGCTTACCCCGCCAACAGACAACACAACATCACATGTACAACAAAACAACACAACAATTACCAAAAAAGACAACAACAGCACAAACACGTCAGAAACAGGAATCAACAACACAACAAACAACCTAAACTGGCAGGTGCAAAATGTAACGCCACAAACAACAAACACAGATATGCAGCAAAACAAAGAAAATACAGTAACCAACATAAATAATAATACAAATCGAGAACACAACAACAACATATATGACCCAACTACAAACACAGAATCAGAAACAAGACTAAGACCAAATAGTCAGCCACAGTTTACTTATAGCCAAGCAGTAAGACAAAATATAGACTTAGATCAGATGAGAATCGATGAACAAGAAGCTAAAGAAATTACAAGCAGTTGGTCAAAACACATAATTCAAGAACTAGATACAAGAATCAAAGATCAATTCAATCACAATTCCTGGCCTATCGATAATATTATCAGTGCACTAAATGATTGCAAAGGGATTAAAGACTTCATCTCATATAAACTAGACACACAACCTACAAACCACACTATCCCTCCAGCAATTCTTCTTAAATTTAAGTTCCATGATCTAGCTTTCTTCATATCTTTCACTAACAACAAACAAAGCAAGCCAGCTCACCAAATAGAATTCGACAAGCTCTTTAGAAATACAATCAACAGATACAAGATGCACCATAAGATAACCTTGACAAACAAACAAACTTGAGATCAAATTCAATTTAAACTACGACAAAAGCTAATTGTTGAGTACCTCACAAATCTAAACTTCCAACAGTCAATGCCAGGACAAGCAACACAGGTGATCAAATACTGCAGAAACTTCATTAAAGCATCACAAATCGAAGAGATACAACAAATACAAAATGCAATTTATTAGACATATGCAGCGAAAAAACAAGACTTACCAGACTTGTCTAAAGAAATAGATATAGAAATAATGGAACTACTACCTTTAGACTTACCAATTGAAAAGAAATCGCTAATAAAAGCAGCGGCAACTGTATTACATATACTGTTTATCTTTGCTCCATAAGGTACTGCTAGTAGTATACAAGATAATGTGTTACATAATATTTTTTGATCAGATGGCCGGGTACTTGTCATTTGTTAGAATTGTAATTCTTTGTTTCTTGTCCACCAGTGTGCTGTTGTCTTTGGTATATTCCTGATTATATCTGTTTGTATGCTTAATGCTATATCGATATTCTTTAGTTGTTGGCTACTCATTTGCTTGTGAATGTTCGATATTGTAAGTTTTGTTTCCATATCTGAAAGTGCTTTGTCGATATTGTTTAGGTTTGTTCTTAGTAGTTTGGTTGTTGGTATTGGTGTTGTTGTCTTTTTGTTGCTTGTTTGCTTGATGTATTTGTATGTTAGGTCTTCGTAGTTGCTTCTTAGCTTGTTTTTGCAATCGACTTGTATAATACTTATTTCTGCTGGTAGTTTTATTCTTATCGAGCATTTTTTCTATTTTCGTTTTGTTCTTTTTTTATGGTTGCATTCTTTGCATTTTTGTAATTGCTTATATCCGTTGTAGATCCAGTGTTGGATGTCTATATATGTCGAGGTTAGTCTGCTTACTTTGCCTATTATTTTGTTTTTGTATATAATCCATTTCTTTTTTCTTGGTGTTTCGTTATGCGTTATAAATGGGTTTGGTTGTGTCAATCTTGTGTTATTGTGTTCTAGCCAAAGGTTTGTTTCTATTATTAGCTCGTTGTACCATTTTGGTTGTCTGCCTCTTGGTATTCTCTTTATTGTATGTGGAAGGGCCTGCCATGTCCTGGGTTGTGTCATGTCATGATTTAGTAATTGTTTGATATAGTAAAGGTTTAGATTATTTAGTTTGTTTTTTATAACGCTTGCAGCTGACATGTTGTTTAAGATATTATTAATTGATGTGCCTTGTTGTGAGTGAGGTTTTGGCCAAGGGTTATTGTTGCTGCTGAA